TTTTTATTTGACAACTACTTTTTCACAGCTTTCAATATTTTTTTTTTTGTTAGAAAGCTGCTTTCTAGAGTTGCTTTCAAAAAAGTTATTTTCTTCACAATAATTTACAACTATCTTTATAGAAACTTGCAATCATCCTAAACAAACCCTAAATATCTTTTCGAGATTGATGCAGTTATAAAGTTTGTTGTAAAGTTATTATGAGAAAAATAATTTTGCTAATTAGGTTGCAAAAAGAATTGAAAATAATAGCAAGAAATTAATAATCAAATGAAATTATGGTTGGTATCTAAAATGCAAAGTAACGAGAAATTCGATTCTAACAAACTCTAAATAATGCAAGCTAAAAAAAAAAAGATTTATCTATTTATAAACAGGCTGCCCAACATTGAACATTAATTAATAAGTAAAAGGATTAATGCATGTAATTCTAAAAAAGTTGAAATTTTATTTGTATAAATACTCTAAGTTTAATTTAGATGAAATTTTATTATTAATGAAAATAATAATAATTCAACAAGGAAATGAACAAGAAGGATGCAAGCAAAGTAATAATAAAATTTGAAGCTGGAAACCATTTTATCATATGGTAATCCATTGGAAACCAATCTTCATTTTTGTTTCTAAGCTCTCTCTCTCTCTCTGTCTCTCTCTCTAGCCATATTAGTCATATGGAAGTCATAAAAAGAGAATATATATATTCTCTCTCTTTCTATCAATTCCATATGGCAATATCAATTTAGAATAAGAAGCGTGATAAGATATAGTAAAACAACATACAGAGTGTTCGCTTAGAAGTAAGTTACTGCAAACAGCACTGTGTACATGAACATATAAGGATCAATGAAGTAACTCTCTACAAATTTAGTAATACATGATATATTATAAAAATTTATCTTGACCGGGCATGAATCTCGAGGCAAATTTAAGTTGGAAACTTACGAAAATAAATTTTGGGCCATTCAAACTACGATTTCAGCAAATTTATAGTTGAATTGAATGTCTCGAAAAGATGAATCCAAGGACACCAAATTCGACCTTATCCAAGCCCTAATAGGTCCCAATCGAAACTTGAAGTGCATTAGGAAGGTTCAAACCATAAATTGGATGACTAAAATTTTTTTTAAGTGTGACATGCTTTTAATTGAATCGAACGGCTCGACGAGACAAATCCAACTAGCCTAAGATCGCTGAATTCTAATATCATTAAGACACTCAAATGCCCAACAAACGAGTCATTATCAAGGGAATTGATATCAATCGTCCATTCAAAACACTCTTACCCTTGATCTCATTCATATTTACTGGTCATACCACTACCTAAAAACTATAAATAAACTCCTCATTTTTCACTAAACGGGGACTAAGCATGGAAGAGGATGAAGAGAAATTAGAGAGTTCTCTAGCCCTCTGACTCCTCCTAGACCACCGCCCGACCACCAAACGTCGTTAGAATATTGCCGGACTTCTACCCAGACACTAATTGTCTCCAGACTTCAGCCCGATCACCAATTGTTGCTGGACTTCCATCTGGTCGCTAATTGATGTCGGATTTACGTACCCTCGACCACCGACCATTGCCAGACTTCCATTTTATTTCTATTCGTCACAAGATTTCAACACGATAGTTATCTATTATAATATGATCGTCCTTAAGTTCAAGGATGAATCAATCATTTGTAATTTATTCAAAGAATAAAAGATTCATTTTAGCTGGGCGTGGCCCCGAGGTTTTTCCCTTAAGAGTTTTCCATGTTAAAAAATTTAGTTTTTCTACCATCTTTTTTGTGAGCTTGATAAGTATGCAACATTAAGACATAAAATTTTATATTTTGTCACTATGAATATTCTAGCCCATAATAGTTTGGTGTCATATGTGAGAACTCAATCCCATAATCCTAAGTAAGCAAATACTGATTGACCTGTTGGTTGGAGACTGATTGACATATACAAGATGTTGGGTCAACGAGCTTTCCATTAAATACTTTGGTTTGATGTTATTCTTTATTGTTAATGTGATACTAATTGAGAGTTTTAAGGAGATGATTACTATGCCAACAGAAAAAGACTGACCAGAACTATTTTCCGGCCGATATTTTGAACAGTACCAATCGGCCTGGCCGATGCCTAGATCGGCCTGGACGATGCCTACAGAAAAACACCTGGAGCAAATCTGGGCAAATTCTGGAGCAAATTCTCAACTGATCGTCCCAAGACGATCCCAGATAGTCCTGGATGATCCCAGATCGTCCTGGACGATCCCAGAGCAGATTTTTGATATTACATGTTTGATATGATTATACGTACTAAGAACATAATATACTGATTTGATACTGATATAGAGTAACTGGATAGTATGTGTACACTCTTATATGATTTTACTATATTAATATAATTTCAATAGTATTTATCGATGCTTTGATTTTATCGCTTTATACGATTGATTTACTAACTGATTGATAATACTTATAATAATTGCTTTATTTGACACATATAATGATTTGTTGATTTCTCCACCATACTATTTTATTGGCTTATATATCGTATTATTTTATTTTTTATAGATTCTACCACTATTGCATGGGAGTTTTTTTATTTTTGCACTGAGTCAATGATCATATGAATGTTAGTTCTATGATTTGATCCATGACATGCATATTGCTCTTTTAGCGTGCTTTAAATTTAGTTAGAAGTTATGGTGATTTGCTGGGCCTTTTAGCTCATTACATGTGGTTAAATATTTTCAGGTCATGACAGATCTAAGATCCCGTGTGAGACTTATATGTATTCCTCAAGGTTTGTTTCTTTTTATTTTAGCTATTCTTTTGTACTCAGGATATAATAGTTGTGATATGATTATATAGATCATGAATAGTGCACATGATTTTTTGGGAAATAAATACAAATTTGTATATGATATAATAAAAAAAGGTAACTCTAGTTATGTAAATTAAAAAATAAAAGAATAATTCTTTCAAATTTAATTATGAGGCATCATAAGTGTGATGCCAATAATGACCTTACACTATTCACATCCCAAAAATATGTTTCTTTTGAGGTTCAAGTGGAAGCTCATGATAACTACAAAAGAGATTTGCAGTTTGAGTGTAGACTCATAAGTCATCCAATCTAGCCACTCCATTGGTTGCCACTAACTCAACATTATTCAATTCGTTACCTAATATTCAAGGAAAAGTACCTTTCAAATCATCTTTAATCATCAATCATTCAATTCAAACCCTCTACTCAAACCATTGGATATCCAAATTATCTCCATAATCTAGTTTAATTCACACACGAAAAAGCTATTAAAAATATGATTGTCGCGGGCTAGAATATATGCGGCGATAGAGTTAAAATACTGCGTCTTAGTGTTGTACGAAAATTCGTTTCACACACAAAGAACATAGGATATTTTTATGTGGAAAACCCTGGAAAGGGGAAAAATCACGAGGGCTGGCTCAGTCGAAAATGATTCCACTAGAATTCGATACAGTGGGCTGACTCATTCTTGAGTGCGATCAGATTATAAATACCAACCGTATGGTTGAAATATAGTGCCAAATGAGGATGAAAGTTCAGCGTCAATTGGTGGACTGACAGAAATTTGGTGCTATTTGAAAATTCGGGCGTCAGTTGGTTGCCTGACGGTGGTTTGGCAGAACTTTGTCTTTGGGTGGTGGTTCGACAGAAGTTCTGCGTCAGATGGTGGTCCGACGGAACTTCGGGTGTCAAGTGATGGTCTGGCAGAACTTTGGGCGTCAAGTGGTGGTATGCTAGAACTCCGGGCGTTAGGTGGTGGTATGGCGGAACTCCGGGCGTTAGATGGTGGTATGGCGGAACTCCGGGTCTCAGGTGGTGATTCGGTAGAAGTTCGGGCCTCAGGTTGTAGTCCGGCAGAAGTCTGGGCTTCAGGTGGTGGTCCGACAGAAGTTTGAGCCTTAGGTGGTGGTTCGGCTGAAGTCCGGGCCTCAGGTGGTGGTCCGGTGGTGGTCCGACGGAGCTCAGAGAGTTAAGCGGTGGTCCGATGGAGCTTAGAACGTCAGGTGATGGTCCGGCAGAGCTCAGAGCGACAAGCGTTGGTCCGACGGAGCTTAGGACGTCAGGTGATGGTCCGGTGGAGATCAGAGCCTCAAGTGGTGGTCCGGCGGAAGTCCGGGCCTCAGGTGGTGGTCCGACGAAACTCCAACAGATGGTCGAGGAGACAAGGAGGCAAGAGCAATCTCCGATCTCTCTCTTTTCTCCTTAGGCATAAGGGTCTCTTTTCAAGAGGGAGGATGGTTCTATTTATAGATTTCCTAGAGTGGTGTGGCCCGTAAATAGGAGGAGGATAAAGAGCAAATGAGGAGTGGTTTGGATGGACGACCGATGTTAAATCCATTGATTATGGATCGTTTATTAGACATTTGAATGTCTTAATGATGTCCGAATTCCATGATCCTGGGCTCATTAGATTCATCTCGTCGAGCCGCTCGATTCGATTATAAGAACGTCATGTTTGGAAACCGTTTGGTAATCCAATTTGTGGTTTGAATCTTCTAACAATGCTTCGGGTTCTTGATTCTGACCCATTTGGGCTCGGATTGAGTCGAATTTGGTGTCGTTGGATTCATATTTCCGAGACGCTCTGTTTGACTATAAGTTTGCTAAAATCGAAATTTGAATGGTACCAATTTTATTTTTAGAAGTTTCCAACTTGATTTTGTATCGATATTTATGCCTAATCAAGATAATTTTTGGATGATGTATCAATGATAAATAATCATTTGTTTTTACATATGTTAGACCTAACGTTAAAGATACGTTTATTAGAAAATCCAGATGAGAAATTAATACAATATTTTATTTTATTATTGCATATAAATTAGACATAGCGTCGAAAATAAAATACACAGATGAAAAAAACAATTTTTTTTTTTTTGTTTCCTTCTCCAATAATTCCTGTGGACCTGCCCAAGATTCCAAATAACTCAGCCAGGCAGAACAAGCGCCACCGTCCTGGCACTCTTGTCTACTATGTATAAATCACGACAGAGAAGAACAGAACAGGGCACCACTCGCATGAAGAGAACCGAGAGGAAGAAATGAGGAGCAATATTATTCCTTGTTTCTCTCTCCTCTTTCTCTTGGTAGTCTCATTGCTCCCTTCTTCCACCCTCGCCACCCTCGTCCAACAAGACCAGTCCGACGGCGACGGCTATGGCTACAGACTCATCTCGGCCCACAGAAACCACAAATCCAGCGATCTCCTCACCGCCGAACTCCGGCTCATACGTCAATCCAGCTATGGGTTCGACATCGAGAAACTACGCTTCATAGCAAGGTACTTCAGATTACGATTTCGGATTCCGTAAACAGTAACAGCCTTTCTCGCCGCCTAAAACGCTCTGTATTTTTTATTTTCAGATAGGGTTTTTTATTTTATAAATTTACTGAATTTTCTTATTATATCATAAAATGCATTTGTTTGACATTATCAATTTATCATCCTGATCATAATCACAATTTATTTTATTTTATTTCAAGTTTCTCTCGTTTACCCTGTTTTTAGCTTTGAAACGAAAGACCGGCTGCGAATCCGCATCACCGACGCCGACCAGCCGAGATGGGAAGTCCCGCCGGAAGTCATCCCACGTCAGACGCCTCCAAACGAAGCCAGCAGAGGGGCAACCAAGAGCCGCGTACTCTCCCCAGCTGGCTCCGACCTCATCTTAACAATCACCAATTCCATCCCCTTCGCCTTCGCAGTCACCCGCCGCTCCTCCGGTGAGGTTCTCTTCAGCACCGAAGGACACAGCCTCGTCTTCAAAGATCGCTACTTGGAGATCTCGTCGTCTCTGCCCGGCGAAAAAGCCAATCTTTACGGCCTCGGCGAGCACACCAAGTCCTCTTTCCGTCTTGTTCCCGGCGAGAAGTTAACGCTTTGGAACGCCGACATCGCGGCAATGAATCCAAATGTGAACCTTTATGGGTCTCATCCTTTCTACATGGACGTGAGATCGCCGACGGGAGCCGCTCACGGCGTTCTGTTGCTTAACAGCAATGGGATGGATGTGCTTTATAGTGGGAGTCTTATTACTTATAAAGTGATTGGCGGTGTCTTGGATTTCTACTTCTTCGCCGGACCGACGCCGGTGGCTGTTATGGATCAGTACACGAAGCTCATCGGAAGGCCGGCCCCGATGCCTTACTGGTCTTTTGGTGAGTAGATTTATTTTCTTCCGATAATTGTTAGTTGAATGAATAACTTTTTCAGAAACACAGTTGATTGGCATAGTTAAATTAATAAGGGTATAATCCATACTTAATTATATAGTAAATAGGATATATTTATGATAAGATTGTTAGATTATAATTATTTTAATAAACCTTTTCTCTAATAAAATTAATTATTGTGAATTTAAGTCATTAATTAACATGTAATGTTAATTTACAAAAAGTAAATATGAATATTTAATTACATTAATTTATCAAAACACTTTGTTAAATTAATTACTTAATCAAATTAAATTAAATTACAAGGTAAATATGAATACTTAATTAATTTATCAAAATAATTAATTACAAAAAGTAAATATGAATAAATTAATTGATAGATTAATTTACTTAGAAATTTTAATAAAACTTTAATCTTAGACATTATTATGATTCAATTTATCTAAACAATATTCAACTAATTAATTATGAATTAAGAAGTCTAAATTGGACTAATTCAATAAACACTAATGGATTAAGTTACTTGCCTAGGAAATTAGTAATTATGTAATTATAAAATTGGTATTTTGTATATAATATGATTAAATTAGGAAACTTAGTTGTTATATATTAATTCAAGAAGATTATCTGATTAAATCCATATTAATTATTTAAGATAAGTAGTATTATTTAGGAATAAAAATTGTTGATTAAGGATTAAAAATATTTCATAATATTTAAATTGCATAATCCTTGATTATTACTTTGATATTATGTGAGAGTACTTAACATAAATGTTCCAATTAGTCTTACTAACAATTGCAAGGCAAATAATCCCTTGTGAGGATCTTTATCATCATACCAAAAGGAATACTGAAGGATTCTTTGAAAACTTTGCAGGATTTCACCAATGTCGCTATGGCTACAAGAACTACTCTGAGCTGGTAGAAGTCGCCACCGGCTACGAAGAGGCTCAAATCCCTCTCTCCGTCATGTGGACCGACATTGATTACATGGATGGATTCAAAGACTTCACCCTCGATCCCGTTAATTTCCCCGTTGAAAAGATGAAGAATTTCGTCCAACGGCTCCACGAGAATGGGCAGAAGTACGTCGTCATCGTCGACCCAGGTAAGAACCCGCCGGAAAACACTCTTATCCTCTAGTTCTCAAGCTAAAAAACTCATCTTTTCATCTTCGTAGGTATCAGCGTGAACACCACATACGCGACATTCCAGAGAGGAATGAAAGATGAAGTTTTTATTAAATGGAATGGAACTAACTATCTCGGCAAAGTATGGCCTGGGCCGGTCTACTATCCCGACTTCCTGAACCCAGCCACATCTGAATTCTGGAGCAAGGAGATCTCCATCTTTCGCAAAACTTTGCATTTTGATGGTCTCTGGATAGACATGAACGAATTGTCAAACTTCATTACTTCCCCTCCGATCACAGATTTGGACAACCCTCCTTACAAAATCAACAACGGTGGCGTCCAGCGACCAATAGGTAGCAACACAGTGCCGGCCTCTGCCTTGCACTTTGGAGGCCAAACGGAGTACAACGTTCATAACTTGTATGGATTTCTGGAATCTAAAGCAACACATGATGCGTTGATGAGGGAGACGGGGAAGAGGCCTTTCGTGCTGTCGCGATCAACGTTTGTTGGATCGGGGAAGTATACGGCGCATTGGAGTGGTGATAATGCTGCGACATGGGAGGATCTTGCTTACTCTATTCCTTCCATTTTGAACTCCGGATTGTTTGGAATACCGATGGTAGGAGCTGATATTTGTGGCTTCAATGGTAATACAACAGAGGAGCTTTGCAATCGGTGGATTCAGGTATGTGGATGCTTTTTTTGGCTCATTTAGTCAAATTAGTTTTAATGGTCTAATATATGATCTAGAAGGCAAACAATTAGATACTTTTCTATCATCTCCAACCAAACGTCAAATATGTGCGTAAGGCATCATTCGGTCGCTCCAGCCGAACGCCAAATATTCCGCTATTCGCTTGAAGGTGAACAGTGAAACGCCAATATTGACGTTGCACTTTTTACATACGCAATTTTTTTGTCTCAACCAGATTTGCCAAAGAAATGCGTGAAAGAGGAGAAAGACGGTTACCTTCGCAGAAGCGTGCAAAATGAAGTTTGATTGGAGATGAATCAATGCATTTTTCAATTTCACTGTATTTTAAAGTGAAAAATGAAATTTTTCGGTTGTAGATACTCTTACAGGGAGGGAAACATCTCTCGAGAAAGATGTTCAATCCCACTTCAAAGCCGTTCATACTCCACCAATTTAATAGTTTTATCTTCTATCTCAAGCCCTTCTTGACAGAACATAACAACAATAAAATATTATCAAAGAAGCAAAATGAAGAGAGTAATTTTTAACTTTTGGAATTCTTATTTTTCTTTCAGTTAGGCGCGTTATATCCTTTTGCAAGAGACCATTCAGATAAGAACTCAATCAGGCAGGAGCTTTATCTCTGGAAGTCTGTAACTGAATCTGCAAAGAATGTTCTTGGGTTGAGATATCGTCTCCTCCCTTACTACTACACGCTAATGTACAAAGCTCATCAGAAGGGTACCCCAATTGCAAGGCCATTGTTCTTCTCCTTCCCTGAAGATCCCAATACTTACGGAATCAGCACACAATTCCTAGTCGGAGAAGCACTCTTGGTTTCACCCATCTTAAAACAAGGAGAAACCTCAGTGGAAGCTTACTTCCCCAAAGGAAGGTGGTTCAGCCTCTTCAACCTCTTTCATATAGTAGAAGCCACTTATGGGAAAAGGGTGACACTTCAGGCCCCAAATGATGCCATTAATGTTCATGCCCGAGGAGGGAACATTCTGATCCTGCAGGAAAGACTGGATGTTACTTTGGAGAAAGAGAGATTGTTTGGGATCTTAGTGGTGCTTGATGAAGAAGGAACAGCTAGAGGAGAAGTTTTCTTGGATGATGGTGAGGTGGTGAAGATGGGAGGGAAGAAGAGTGAGTGGGCTCTGATTAGGTTTACATGCGAAGCTAAAGATGGGAAGGTGAAGCTGAAGTCCCAAGTTGTGAATGGCAGTTATGCAACAGAGACGATGTTAGTGAATGATATAGTTTTTGTTGGGCTGAGGAAGTCAAATTCCGGTGTTGTTACATATGATCTGAAGCAAAAGAAATCGGGTTCGAAGATCTTTGAAGGTAATGCGAACTATAATTCACATGAAAATTTTGGTTTCGTGCAAGTCAATGACATATCACAACCTATTGGAGAAGCTTTTGAGTTGCAACTCAATATGTGAGTGGGTGGAGCGGCTAAAAAGAAAATGACAGAGCCGTTGTTATTTTAAAATGTTGTGGTTGTCTTTGAATTTGTAGTGTGAGAATAAGATATTTACGCAGCTCGTCTTGATTTGTTGGTTGAGAGATTTGACTATCAATCAAGAAGTCTCGGATTCAACGATTGCGTAAAAAAATAATTAGATTTTGAGTTTCATAAATGTATTACTTTCTGCTTCCACTATTGATCATCATCACAAATTATCTATTGGCCATTTGGCCCAATTGTGGTTTGGATGGGTCAATCAAATCGGTACAAGAGCAAGAACATTTACTCACTTTTTGCTAATGCAAGGGAGAAATTTAGTATATCTTTCTACTCATTTTACACAATCTGAACTGCAATGACCTGGAGAATTCTAGAGTTTTTATAACTCTGAAGAAGTTCAAATGATTCTATTAAAAATTTTCAAATCTTTCCAACTTCAACTTTTGCCATTCATTGTTCAATAGTTGGTCAAAATTTTCTCATTTTTAGGAATTTTTTATCAATCAAATTTTACATCTCTCTTATGTCTCACTCTCTCCTTGCTTCTCTTCTCTCTCACAGTATCCTTGCACAAGAATAAACAAAGAGATATAATACATACCACTAAGGGACTCCACCTTTAAGAAAAACGAGAAAGAAAAAACTATCCAACTGACCTCGCAGCTATCACACCCATAATCAAATTTGGAATAATTGTCTATTTATCTTTTTAATTATTTATCAGAGCTTTTATAAATCGTCAATATAAATCTATATGTCCAGCGAAAGTAACTAATAATCATATACATAAAAATATTTCACTATATCTAATCTCCCAAAATCAATATATAATTGTTAGGATATCAATACAATCAATACTATATCGTTGGCTCATAGCTACAAAAAATGAAAGAAATACAAAAAAATTAAAAGAAATATGAGGATCTCTGTCAATCTCATTCCACCTGATTCTGACATTTTCTCTGACCTGAAATCATTAAAATTTACATAATGCGCTAAAATGCCCAATAATAACTTAAATTCACTAAAGTTTTCAATGCAAGACTCAAGAATCAATATGCTTGTTCATCTCAATCAATAAAATCAATAACATTCAATATCATCAATGATCATTGAGTACTAGCATGATTCAATATGATCAATAATAAAAAATATAAATCATTACACTCATATCCATAAATCAACATCTGTGTAAGACTATAAATGTATCGATATTCATTAATAACAAACATTATCCATATCAGTATGTATCAATAAGACAATAAAGGGAGTAAAATAGTAAATCCATACAATAAAAAGTAACTGATCGGTACTGAAATCATGAGTGAGTCTATGAGTGAATCATAAGCATACTTGTATCAATGTCAATATCATTATCCTTATATATCTTATCTATTATATAATCAATATATATATCCATTCATATGCTATCCCATTTATCAATGCCATCTGTCAATGCTACCAATGTATGCATGCATTCATAGATGATTCAGTATAAAATTTAGCAAGACAGAACATCCAATTTTAGCATGGCGTTTTTATTCTTTCATCTATATTCATGCATCATTGTCATCTTTATTATCATTTCATTAAAATTAATATTACATATGGCTTTCAAAAATCATAACCAATCTGATGTTTCAACAACTAATAATAGCAGCGGTTTTAAAATCGCTGATATAGCCATGTATAAACAATAATTTTAACCGCTATTAAAACCCTTTTTTTTTTTTTTTCCCATTCCCCGACGCCCTAATCGTCTACTCCACACATTCAACTTTCTACTGTGCTTCGGACAGCCGGACAGGAGAGGGAGGAAGCAAAGGATAGTGAAGCTTCTCCTCTATCTGGCGGCGGACGGCTACCATAGCGGGCTAGTAGCGGGCTGCGATGGAGTTCATGTGAAGGGGAGGACTGTCGTGTAATTGCCACCATTTCCACTAGTCTTCCTCGACAATAGCAAGATGGCTCTTCCGACTCCGCTAATCTACTCTGTTACCATTCTCAATCTTAACTCCTCCCCGGCCCGCCCTCCACTACCACCTCCCCTCGCTCCACCGTCATTCTCACGTATAAAATAAAATTTCCATTAATTAGGTCCAGCGCTAAGAGAAGGCCGAAGGACTGATCCCAGGATAAACCCTTACAAAAAATTTATGCTTGTGATCTCCCACCACTTTGATCGAGTTTCCAGGCAGGATGAATGGAAGGTCCCTTCGAGGGCAACTTCATTGTTAATATTGGCTCAATTTATATTTCTATATCATTTTAATGATATTTATAATTTGATCATAAAATTTAATTTTTTGACATTGTATATATTTTAATCTATTCTACCTTTGATGGTTTGGTGGTGATTCGACAGAACTTTAGCATCCCTTGGTGGTCCGACGGTGGTGCGGCAGATCTTTGACGGTGGTGCGGTAGAAGAACAGAGGAGGTAAGGGTGGAATAGATCGCTGCAGTTAGGTTCTGATCAATGAGAACCCACTCAATATATTTGGGGTTGACTGTGGTGGTGCCATCAGCTAACTGAGATAAGCGAGGTGGTGGAGCTGCCGTAGATTCAAGAGAGCTAGCCCATTCGCTCGTCATTTGAAAGCTGGGTAGGAAAAATGATTTTGATCTTAGAGATAACAAATTTGAGAGATGCTGGGATGTTGCAGCTTTCAGTGGAGGTCTCAGCGGACGGATTGCCAATCTGAGATGATGAAGATTGAGCCATTGCTGCGTAGACAAACTTTTCATCCCTGCTCTGATACCATAACGATTTGTTTATTACAGATGTGAAAGATGAGACTAGAGCAGCTTTATATAAGTAAAGTGAGCATGTGTTTTTACACGTGTACGTGGTGTGAGAACCGTGAAACCTGCAAGGGAAACAAGAAAACAGAGAGAAGAGGAATAGTTCCAGAGGAAGAAGAAGAGGAATTCGGGGGTTAAGGAGGAGTATCAGTATTTGAGTATATTCATTTTTTCTACCAAATACATCCTTCTGTAGCTACGTTTATACTAGCAAATGAAAAAGAGCTGAGCTGGCAGGCCACTAGCTGGCGCCTGGCTGAAAAGCTGAAAAATGCAGGAAAAGTGGAAAGAAACGTCAAACTGGGGTAGTGGCTGCCGTAGGTTGTTAGTGGCACATGATGGCCGTCTGATATACCACATCAGGTCTCCCCAGCTGCCGGAGATTCCTCGCCTGAGGAATTAATTTGAACCTCCGCCATGTCCAAAGCCTTATATGGAAAGATGTCTGAAACGTTGAAAGTTGAAGGTGTGAGATATGTAGGTGGAAGATCAACAACATAGGCATTGTTGTTGATTCGCCGAAGTATTGGGACGGGTCCAATCTTTTTCGGGCTGAGCTTGGAGTATGTTCCAGGAGGGAACCTTTCTTTGCGAAGACGAACCATGACGAGGTCACCAGGTTGGAAAATTTACTCCCGCCGATGAAGATCAGCTTGCTGTTTATACTTCTCATTGGATGTTTCCAGCTTCTCCTTGACATCCCGTAGCAATTTGGTATACACATCAGTCGTATTAGCAGCGATTTTGCTTTTGCATTGCGGTAAGACGGCGATATCTATCACATGATTCGGGCATTTCGTGTAGACGATGCTGAATGGGCATTGCCCAGTAGATCGGTTGGACATTGCATTGTAGGCAAATTCCGCCTGTCCAAGGTAGTCATCCCACTGTTTGGGATGTTCATGAGCAAGACACCGCAACATGTTTCCTAAGGTGCGATTCACGACCTCAGTCTGCCCATCTGTCTGCAGGTGGTACGCAGAGCTTAATTTGATCTCGGTTCGCAGCCGCTTCCAGAGTTCTTGCCAAAAATGGCTCACAAACTTTACGTCGCGATCGGAGGTAATGCTGCGGGGAAGGCCATGCAGCCGGACAATTTCTTTAAAGAATAGGATGGCGACGTTGAGAGCATCGAACGTCTTCTTACATGCCAAGAAGTGTGCCATCTTCGAGAAGCGGTCGACAACGACCATGATTGAATCGGCACCGTGTTTCGTTCGTGGCAAACCCAATACGAAATCCATGCTCAGATCCTCCCAGATCGAGTTCGGCACTGGTAATGGCGTATAAAATCCCGTATTCTGAGCATTCCCCTTATAGATTTGGCAAATTGGACACCGCTCTACGAATCGAGTGACATCCCTGTTCAGATGTGGCCAATAGAAACGGCTTTGTAGCTGCTCCAACGTCTTAACTCTACCCAGGTGAGCTGCCAATCCTCCACTGTGCAGCTCCTTGATTAAGTGTTCACGCCATGACGAAGCAGGTACGCAGAGGACGTTGCCTTTGAACAAAAAATTGTGCCGAATGGAATAGTCATGGAAAGGTGTTGGTGGGGAAGCGGACAACTGACTCCATGGTTCGGAGAAATCGTGATCAGTCGGATAGAGTTCTTGTAATGCCTCTAGTCCTGGAGCGTCAACCTGGAGCTTGGTTACTAGCAAAGTGCGGCGACTAAGGGCATCTGCAACCCGATTCTTGGCCCTTGATTTGTGCTTCAACACAAAACTGAATCGCTGTAAGAATGTTAACCACCGTGCGTGCATCTTGTTCATGGTCTTCTGGCTGTTAATGAACTGGAGTGCATGATTGTCGCTGCTCAAAACGAAGTCCTGATGTAGGAGATAGTGTTCCCACTGTTTTAATGCACGAACAACAGCGTATAATTCTTGTTCGTAAGCGGACCAATTTTGGCGTGCGGGGCTTAATTTCTCACTGAAAAACTCTATAGGCCGCTCCTCTTGTGAAAGGACTGCACCGACCCCTATGGCAGAGGCGTCTGTATCAACATGAAACGTCTTATTAAAATCGGGAATGGCTAATACCGGGGCAGACGTCAAGTCTGCTTTGAGGGTGTTGAAGCTGTTCTCTTGATCGTGAGTCCACCGCAAAGTTCTGTCTTTGAGGCAATTTGTAATCGGCGCGGCAATAATGCTAAACCCCTTTATGAAGCGACGATAGAGTTGGCTAGACCGATGAAACTACGAACTTTTGTAATCGTTTGAGGTGTTGGCCACTCGGTAATGGCCAAGACCTTCTGCGGGTCCATGAGTACGCCCTTGTCGGAGACAATGAATCCGAGAAAATGAACTTTCCCTGTAGCAAATTCGCATTTAGGAAAGTTAATATAGAGTTGATGTTCCTTTAAAATTTTAAAAATACTAGAGAGGTGTATGCAGTGGTCGTCTAGCGACTTGCTATAAACAAGTATGTCGTCGAAGTAGACGACGCAGTATTTCCCGAGGGCGGGTTTCAGGATCTCGTTCATGAGGCGGCATTGCATAGTCCAAATGGCATAACCTGCCATTCAAACAAACCGTCCTTGGTTTTGAATGCCGTTTTCCACTCGTCGCCGGGCCTTATTCGTATCTGATGATACCCGCTCCTGAGGTCTAATTTGGAGAACAACACGGCACCAGCCAGTTTATCGAGCATATCTTCTATGCGAGGCACCGGGAAACGGTACTTGACAGTTATTTTGTTGATGGCTCGACTGTCTACGCACATTCGCCAGCTGCCGTCTTTCTTCGGTACGAGTAAGGCGGGGACGGCGCACGGACTCAGGCTGGGATGGATGAGTTTTTTTTGGAGCAACTCTTCAATGATGCCTTGCAGAGCAGTGTGCTCCCGCGGACTCATTTTATAATGAGGTAGATTTGGCAAATTAGCCCCCGGATGGAGATCGATCTGATGCTGCAGCGTCCTCAATGGGGGCAATTCGTTGGGTAATTCCGCTGGCCACACCTCCCGGTATTGATTCAGTATGTCACTAACAGTTGCGGGTAGTTCTGGTCGCAGACTATCTGAGTGTGCTGAAACAGCTACGAGTGCCCATATTAGAGAGGATTCTTTCCAGGAATCAATAAGAGTCTGCCCCGAGACAATGTACATTGCAGATTTTTCAGTAATTCCCTTCTCGCCGCTGCTGACAGCATGCGGAAGTAGCCGAATCTTGTGTTGTTTCCATTCAAAAGAATAAGTGTTTGCGCGCCCATCATAGACAACCCCTACGTCAAATTGCCATGGCCTCCCAAGGATTAAGTGGCAGATGTCCATGTCCAACACATCGCAGAGAACCTCGCACACATAACTCTTTCCAATCGAGAATGTCACCCGACACATTTCGGTTACAGCGATTTCTACTCCTTTTTTCACACAGCTGATTTTATACGGACTTGGATTGTGTGTCGTCTTAAGATGCAATTTTTGTACCACCGACCGCGAGATGACGTTCTCTGTGCAGCCATTGTCTATCAGAACGTCGCACACCTGCCCATTGATTGTGCAACGGGTACGAAATATGGAGTTACGCTGCGAGTTATTGGGTTGGCGAGGTGCTATTAGGAGCTTTTGAAGCACACACACTACGGGTTCGCCGTCATCCGCCTGGAGGTCTTCGAATTCCCGTGCATTGATGTTCTCAGCACTATAATGGTCATCCTCAGCTTCTCCTTCAAGTAATTGAATTTGCTGTCGATTGGGGCAATCATTGGACTTATGTCCGGGTTGGAAACAGCGGTAGCATTTGAGAGTGGCAGGTTTTACATACGGATTAGCATCCTTAGCAGGAAATCTGGGTCGTGTAGCCACTGGAGGTCTTGGTTCAGCACCCAGTATTCCAGCGCCGCTCGGTGAAGGCACTGCTTGTTTAATTCCGCTTACATGGTGTGGTTTACTTCCCTCACTGCTCTGCTCTGGATTATATCGGCGGGTACTAATGTTCTTGTGTGCCGACTGATCTGCATCTCTGCCTTCAAAGCGTAGTTCACGGCTTGGGACAATGTCCACACCGAATTCATTTCCAGCTTGTCCTGGATAGATTCTCGGAGACCCCCTATGTATCGTGCGACCAATTGAACTTCAGATTCACTCAGGTTATTCCGAGCGCTTAGTCTGTAAAACTCTTCAGTGTACTCGCTCACAGACCGATTATTCTGTGCGCAATGCTGATATTGAAGATAAAGCATTTGCTCAAAGTCGGGAATTTTTTTTTTATATAATTTGTTCTTTTATCATGTATTTCAAAGATAATATTTTTATTATTCTTTAATTTTTTTACACATATAATTTCATGCTATTTAAATATAATAAAAATTTACATGTTAAATTTTTTCATTTGATAAAAATATATTACTTTTATAAATATTATATAATTAGGCGTTATTTGGCACAACTTTCTAACTACTTTGCTATTAAGACAATAATCGCAATTTTATTTTGCTACTGTTTTCTATCTATTTTTCAAAGATATTTTGGTAGAGGAAAGTTTCTTTTTTACTATCAAATTAGCTAAATTAATATTTCTACAGTAAGTTCACAACCAATTTTATAAAATGCTACAGTAGTCCCAAACTAACCCATACTTTCTACTAAATCACACAAAATATAGTTTTATCTTGTTTCCTAATTGATTATATTATGTACCTATCGTACACTATTATACATATGTCTTTGATCGATAAATATTGTTCTCTGTCGCTCAGTCGCTTATCGATTTAACAGCAAAATCAGTCTCTTTTTGTAGCTAGGGCGAACAAACAAGATTTTAAGGTGTGCATAAACATAAGAGTGAGATAGAAAAAAAAAACCCACCATAAGCTCTTGCTAGGACTGCTCTAATACATATTGCAAGTCAAATACAAAACAAATGAATAGAACCCGCTTACATTGTTAAGACCAAAAAAGAAGAAATAAAGGCAAACATTACTTCTTTTAAACATAATATATCAATCTCAGAATTGCAAATATATCCTGGTGTGTATTAATTCTATTTACATATTCATCCATGTTTATGCTATAATTTGTACAGGCTTGATTGCTCAATAGCTAGGATCCTAAAAAAATTAAATTTAGGTATTTAATTAAAACACATCAACATATATAATCTCTCATATAAAATCAAACAAAGCCTACCATATATTCTGTGAGTGTAAGCCAGCTTCTGTGCTCAAGTAGCTCTCCACTGCCCCATCTCCTGAACTCATAGAAGCCTCTCTCTTCTGTCCTCCCTCCAACATGGTGAGCTGGCTGAGCACGGCCTTTATCATCTTTCTGTCACAATTAGGGTTCATCAGGCAGGGGGCCATGTCGGCTGCGAGGTGGAGCGGTACGGGGCCGGTTGATGGGAAATGGCGGCGGCGGTGGGGCCGGGAAGAGAGTTGGAGAAGCAGGGCACCTGCAGCTCAGGATGAAGCACCTGCAAATTACTCATATGGGTCTGACTGTGATTGCCAACAGGATGATCAAATGTGAAGTATGTATCCATTAGAGGAGGGAGGGAAGAAGAGGCATTGTGGTCATAGCCATGGAAGGGATTCATGGAAGTCGTGGCTGTCAGATTTGGAACTGTGCTTCTGCTCTTGAAGAACACTCTACATAAGGCCCAGTCCTCCTGCATTTGGGTTTTTGAACAGAAGTGGAAGACAATAAGGTTTAGGTAATTGAAATAGGATACAGTGCTGAATTTATGTGAGAGAAATAACATGTTAGCTTTATATGCAAGCGAGTTGAGGCATTGCTTGACTATGAGTTTATGGCTTCGTTTGGGGCAGCTTTCTTCCTACTTTTTAAAGCGATTTTTTAGTGCAAAAATTAAAATTTTGATACTAAAAAGCCGTTTTAGAAGCAGTAAGAAAGCCGCCGTCCCAGTGAATAGAATAGTTTCCACAGCTTAAGGGAGGATTGCTTGCTTATGGCCCTAATCCAACGTTTGCTTCTATGCTTATATTCAGAATCTAATCTCTTAAGCAATGAGAAATGAAACATAGTGAAGCCATCAGTCAGTCTTCGTTGCATAATACCTAAAAGTTTCAAGTGGAAGTTTGCTAATTAGAATCTTTGCATAATACCTAAAAGTTTCAAGTGGAAGTTTGCTAATTAGAATCAAAAGATCTGCTTATTGATTATTGATCAGTTTCGGCTACAGTAATAAGTTTCAAGTGGGAGCAGATACGTCAACAAATATACACTGTGGCTACCAATTGGACTTAAAAAAATGGTGCAAGTGGGATCACCATAATATGTAAGTAACATTCTTGTGGATAAGATCATAAGACATTAATCTAGCTATTGTGTTCTTTGTCCTCCTCATGAAGTGCTATCCTCTTTTCCTATTTTGGAATTATCCTCTTCTACTCCGAAAATTATTCCGTGCGGAGTTCGAACGGTAAAGAACTGTCCGGATGTGAGTATACACAGTGTATACAAATATTATGTACACTCACATCCGGACAATTTTTTACAGTCCGGATTACGCACGAAACAAATTCTCCTTCTACTCATGCAGTAAATATTAACATTCCCTTTATGAATTCAATTGGCTAAAAGATCATAACATATAAATAGTTAAAAGATATAAGAAAATTACTCTGATAGATATTTTTGTTGAATCTGTTGTAGTTGTCTCAGTTCTGAACTCATGCATGACCCAATCAGTTTTCTTCCCTTTAGGAGCTCTTCCTTCGTAGAACACTAAGGTTTTCCTCATTCCAACAAGAACTTCCTTCCTTATCACAGGCCGATCTTTTCCAGTTGCCTTCCAATAGCCAGATTCAGTTGCTCGATTGGTACGTTGTCCTGTGGCATACTTTCGATCACGAAGGGTGAAGAAGTACCACTCCTTTCCACCCACACATGCCATCTCTGTAGTAATCAACATGAAAGATTGATTATTTATTTATTACAACAATTTATAATAAAAATAAAATACATGATTGTAAAATTATAAAATTCATTGCTTTGAAGTTTAATACAAGTATCTATAAAACAGGGGCGGAATCAGTCATAATTTTCGGGGGGACAAATTTATAAGTAATTATTGGCAGATATGTCGGGGGTTCAAGGGGGCAGCGCACCATGACGGGGTTTGATCTGCCCGATCAGATCGAGGGGTTAGGTCACGGGATCAAGAGGCGCCTAGAACAAATTTTGATTTACTATTTCTTTTTGTATTTGGTTCATCATTCCATAACAATAATACATCTGGACAATGTATTTAATTATAATGGAGGCAATTGTCTAAAGATCATAGTATTTTAAAACTTTTAGGGGGGACAATTGTCTAAAAATCCTTGTAATAAAATTAGGGGGGATCAAAGGGATTTCGCCCCTATAAAAAAAAAAGAGTCTAAAATATGGATAAGCTAACATTATTTTTCTAATTGTGCTATTACTCATTAAACTTTATAGATTCATCTTGGGTTGTGAGTCAAGCTGACTCGTTAGCGGGCTTGAGCTCAGTTTTTTAAATCAATTGTGAGCATAGCTGAAAGGCCTAATGAACTAAGCTTGAGTTGGTCCCGACTCGACTGCTTAGTTTTGAGCCAGAGGTGACTCGAGCACGACTTGATTGATTTACACTTCTAGATAGGCCCCAAAAAAGATAGTTTTTTGCAATATACATGATAATGCAACAATTACTTGTTCTTAATTACTGTGATGAATATCCCTATTTAAAGGTGTCCTTGCATCTACATGCTTATCAGGCCAATAATTTCAACCCTACTGTTTCTATTAGGACCTTTTAATTAAGTATTTAAGGAGTCAAAATTTTGCTAAATAATTACTAATCATTAATTGAAATGAATCAAAATCTCTTAATTAAAAAAAAAAATAGGTTCATCCATTTTATATAGAATTTTATTCACATCTATAAATACTAAAAACTCAATAAAAAAATCAAGCAATTATTCCATATTTTCCTATAGCATTCACATGAGACATTTTAGTTTTATCGAATTCGATAAATCCAAATAATTTAAAATAGATTTCTTGATTAAAAAAAAAAAATTTTTTGAGATATTCGACAAGTGGGAAGTCGAACCATACAAAATGTCACTATCACAAAACGGATTTTTTTTTTGCTTTAAATAAAATAATATATATAAAAAGAAAAAAAAATCCTAATTACTTTTTACAGTTTCTGATCTAGATTTCGCTTTAGTTATATCATATATAAATTTACATGATTTAGACACACGATTCTAGCTCAAATTCGAGTTCTGAACTCGAGTTGGGTTTGAGCTCAAGCCTAGTTTAAATTTGTTATAGCTCACACTCGGCTCGAATCGAGTCGACTCATTTATATCCTTAATATGTCTTGAACATATATTGTTAATGATCCCCTTGAAATAGAGAAATTGTTCCGTACGATGTCAGAACACATCCAATGTCTAATACGGATACGTCAAATCATTCAATGTATTATGCATTAAATGACATGACGTATCTGAATTGACCTCTAGATGCATCCGGATACCACGGTCAGTAATAATATTTCCTCGAAATTAGGGGTGTCAATATTTGACACGACACGAAAACCCGACCCGGAAAATCCGGGTTGGACCCGACCCGTTTGATAAACGGGTCGGGTTCGGGTTCGCATATTCGACCCGTTTAGTAAAACGGGTTGGGTTTAGGTTGACCCGGGAACCCACGGGTTAACCCGAATTGACCCGTTATATTTTGTAATCTCGAATTTTCGATTCCCGTCTGACTTTCCTATGTCCTTCACGTCTGTCCATCGCAGTCAACCCATCTCATCCGTCATTATGTCGCGTCTGTCAATCGAGATCAACTCATCACGTTGCGTCGCCGCCAGTCTGGGCCAGTCGGCAGTGGCGTCCGAGCCACTCCGCCGAACGTCAGGTGCCGAGTCGCGTCCATCCGAGTCGTCCGTGTCACCGCCGTCACAGTTTTTGAATTAAATGGGTTCGCCGATGCTGCCTAGCCTAATGCCGCCCAGTTTTTGAATTAAACGGGTTTGCGGGTCGGGTCGGGTCAACCCGGCAACCCGTGCGGGTCGGGTTCAATTTTTTTTTTGATTCGTTTATTTAAACGGGTCGGATTCTGATTGACCCGTTTACACCCGGGTCAATCGGATTCGACCCGAACCCGACCCGTCAACCCGAGTTGACACCCCTGGTTGAATTGCTACGTCTCTCTCGCCCTCCAGTAATTAGAAATAAAGGTAAGCATATGGGGCCCACGTGATGAGGCGCTCTTCACCTGCCAATGAGCCATCGATACGTGTTTGGTGGGTCAGCATCCACTATCATATCTCTTGCTCGGTCCCCTACTCTCCCTCTCTATTTATAACATAAATAAATCAGAAACCGTAAAAAGTAATAAGGATTATTTTTTTTCTTTTTATTTATATTATTTTATTTAAAGCAAAAAAAAATCCGTTTTATAATAGCGACATTTGTATGGGTCGACTTCACACATGTCGAATATCTCACAAATATCTTTTTTTTTTATAAATTTATTTAAAAATCTATTTTAAATTATTTGGATTTATCGAATTTGATAAAACTATAATGTCTCACAAATGGAGTAATAACTTGATTTTTTATTGAGTTTTTAGTATTTATAGAGGTGAAAAAAATTATAATTAAAATGGATGAATCCCATAATTGGATATCCAATTAAATAATTAAATAACTAAGGGGGGAGGGGGCCGTATTAAAGAGGGGCTTGGGAGTTTATGGAGAGAGATTTAAATGCTTGCCAAGTGGGAAACATTAAATTAGGGAGAATATTAAAATCAAATCTTATTTGAATTTGAAATATGTTTGATTTGAATACTTTCCTAAAATAAGATAATTAAATTAGGAAAATGATTTGAAATTTAATTACAATTGAATTTAAATTCAAATGCTATCCATATTAAAACACATCCACAATAGGAAAGAAGGCTATCAAACAATATTGACTTTAATCAAGAACAAAAAGTCTTTAATTAAGGGAGAAAGTATTTAATCAAATATAATTCCAAAATGATTGGAATTTGATTTGAAGAACTTTCCAAAAATAAATCTAGTAATTTAGGAAATGTTTTGAATTTCAAACTAATTTGATTTGAATTCAAAATTCTTTTCAAATTATCTTCAACATAATTTAGGAAAACAAAGGGGAATGAAGGAGGGAAGAGACTAGGGGTGAGGTGGTCGGCCGACTATGGAGGTGGAGGGGTTTATGACCGGCGATTGATATGGATAAAGTTGAAGAGTCTTGTGGCTTTATAGGGGTTTGTGGGCGAACGGCCAGTGACAAGTGGGGGATTTTGACCGGCGGTCATGGGATTAGGAGAAAAAGATTTATGGAAAGAAAGATACAACCATGAGCACGGACACATCCTATAGCTGACGGGTAATACGTTGCCCTTCTCCAAGGGACTTTAAGTCACGAGCCCGGACTCATCCTGTTCCCTCCCATAAAAATCTCACCCAAGTTCCCACCAAAGAAATAAAGTGCAAACATTTTTTTATTATTAATAATTCATTATTCCATTACTCTAGCAAGGGCCTCTATATATAGGCCTCAGAAATAAAAGAAATAAAAATAAGATGACCATGCCCCTAGGGCTTACATAAGATTAGACCCTTAAGTAAGGGTAAAAATAAAAAATGTATAATTAAAATAAATATTATAAATAAAAATTTAAGATAATATAGGATTATCACGATCGTCGATCTTCAGCTCCTCCTTGGATAGGCATGGACGGTTGGATGTACGCATCATTCTGCCAAGGTGGAAGCGAGCTCGACTCTATCGAGTCCGCACCCTGGGTAATCATGCTTTGATGCCAAACTGATTTAGAACAGATGGGGTGGGGGGAAATTTGAAATTTGAAATTAAAGTTAAATGAGAAAAAGCGGAGGAGGGGGGGGGGAGTGGGCGACACATTAGAGGGGCTTGGGAGTTTATGGAGAGAGATTTAAATGCTTGCCAAGTGTGGGAACCTTAAATTAGGGAGGAATATTTAAATAAATCTATTTGAATTTAAAAAATAGGTTTGATTGCAATACTTTCCTAAAATAAGATAACTATAATTTAGGGAAAAGATTTGAAATTTAAATACATTTGAATTTAAATTTAAATGCTTATCCATATTAAAACACATCCAAAAATTAGAAGGAAGAAGGCTATTCAGCAAAGATTTCCTCCAATCCAAAAGAGGTAAGGGCGGCAAGGTAGGAGAGAGAAGCAAGCCGGTTATGGGAGGATAATGAAAAAGAAATTAATCAAGTTCTCAATTAAGGGAGAAATGATTTAATCAAATATAATTCCAATTGATTGGAAATTTGATTTGAAGAACTTTCAAAAATAAGATCTACTAATTTAGGAAAGGTTTTGAATTTCAAACATATCGATTTGAATTCAAAATTCTTTTCAAATTAATCTTCAACCTAATTTAGGAAATGAAGGAGAATGCCAGGAGGGAAGAGGATAGGGGTGAGGTGGCACCGGCTAATGGAGGTGACCTATAGGAGAATCACTCTTGCAAATTGTATCCAGCGACTTTTCGGTGGTTCATTTTCTGCGCTTTCTAACGATTTTCCTAACAGAAAATATGAAGATAACTTTTCGATGAAATTTTCCAACAGTTTCTTTCCCACAGAAATTTTCGACAGATTTTTCAGTTTGCGAGCAGAATTTTATAAAATTTATAATTAAAATTTTAACACTATTTAAATAATTTACAAAATGATAAAAATATTAACTATTTCCTTAATTTAATTTAAACAAGATTTAAATAAAAATTATATTTTTGTTGTAATTTTTCTAGTATTTAATTCATTATTAAGTAATAATTGTTTTATTAAAATTTTAATTGTATTTCTTTATTTTAATTAATTTTC